ATCAATGTCTAACATTTCATAAGGACTCCAACTGAACACAACTATGTTTCTCCTTAGTAAATCTTCTAGGGTTTCTCTGCTCATGCTCCACCAGTGTTAACCCGATTTGGAAGTACTTTTCGGCATTCCCTTCTAGGCGCACTTTTTTTAAATCTTCCACTGAACGCTCAGTCGGACTCCTCATAGCTTCTTCCACATCCGAGCGCTCGTACCTTGATTGCTTTTTTTGTGTTTGCTCAGAGTCTATCTTAGTTTCCTGATCTTCTTTTTATACTTTTTTCCCTTACAGAAGGAAATAGACAGCTTCTCGCGCTTACCTGGTCACCCTAAATATCAACAAGTCCTCCCTTAGTTGGAAATCTCAGGACCTGGTGGTAAGTTGAAGGAACCGCCTTAATCTTGTGCAACTAGGTACGCCCCATGATGACGTTGTAAGCCAAGTCAACATCCACGACTAATAACTCAGTCATCGTTCTAATTGGTCCTGCTCAGACTGATAGGGTTATAGTTCCTTTGGATAGTACCATCTTTCCACTAAATCCCACTATGTGAGTGTTAATAGGCTTCATGTCATCAATTTTGAGATCGAGCTTACAGAACAATCCCAGATACATGATTTCCGAGGGACTCCCCTAGTCTATCAAGACCCTCTTTACATCAAAATTTACTATCCGGAGGGTTAAGATAAATGCGTCGTTATGAGGGTGGTGGACACCTATTAGGTCGTTGTCATAGAAGCTAATAAGTCAATCTGAGCAATTTTCTACATCAAGAAGTAAGGAACTAGAGAAAGCTCTAGAGGTGGTCCCAAACCTGGTAATAGTGGAGATGAACTAGCTACTTCTTAACCCCATAACTAACAAGGAAATACATACATCAACAATGCATCTTGGACCATTGAAAGCACCAGGACTAGACGCTTTGTAGGTATTTTCTTCAAAAAATTCTGCCATTTCGTGGGAATGGATGTGTGCAATATTGTGCATAATTTTTTGAGGGGGGGGGGATTCTTGCTAAAGCACATGAACAAGACTAAGATAGTCTTGATCCCTAAAGAGGCAGCCCCTAAAACTGACTCAATATCAACCAACATCTCTATGAAATTTTTTTTTTTGGTAAGATTGTTTCTAAAGTGCTCTCAAATAGATTGAAGAGAATATTGGCTCATCTAGTCTTACCAAAATTAGCTACATTTGTCCCTAACATATTCTACTCGCAAATGAAGTTTTCCACTGTTTGAAGCCACTGAAGAGAAGCAAGAAGAAAAAGATGGTAATTAATCTTGACTTCAACAACGAGTCGAATACGACTTCTTGGAAGCAGTAATGCTAAAATTGATCTTCAGTCAAAAATGGGTAAATCTAGTTATACAGTGTGAGTATGGTGCTGTTTGAGGTAGTAGTGAATGGAGAAGTTCGATGCTGAAAAGAAGGAGCCCCACATTATCTCACTTCCTATTCATGAAAGCAACTGAAAATGAAGTGCTACACTTGCTTAGAATATTAACAATATTTATGAAGCCTCAAGCCAACAAATTAATTTTAACACATTTGGAATCACGTTCTCAAGTAAAAAAATCCTAGAAGAACAAAAGCAGCAGGTACTACATCTCATGAGAATGATCTCTCTTCCTCACACCACTACTTATTTGGGAACGCCGGCCTTTTGGGGTAGATCAAAATTGGCTACTTTCAAATATGTTGTTGATTTTTTTTATCCGATATGTTTTGATATTGTTTATCTACATTCACAAGAATGATAATTTTTGGCATAACTAGTATCCCGTCTCGATCCCAACATGACACAAAAAGTTGAAAATTGAAATTGTCTGCCCATTAGATTTTAATTATGAAACTACCATCATTTGAAAATCATAAATCTAAAATTGATAAATAAGTTAATGAGAAGACAAAAATAAATAAATCTTCTCACATAAATCAGTAACATGATTTGTTGTACAAAACCCTAGTTTCCTTCCACCAGCTCTAACCCCCTTACTTCTCACCCTTATTTCTCCCTACTCAATACACCTTTTCACCTAATTTTTGAACGTAAGCACTCATCACACATCACTCTAACAAACCCAATCATTCTCAAGCTTCAAATTAAGCTTAAACCCATAAAAAAAATCGGTCAAAATAAACCAAAAATAAGGTTTTTAGTTTTATGGCCAAAACTGTAACTTGCATTTTAACCATATTAACAACTTATAAATCCCTTTCTAAGATCACCAATTGATTCCAAAGGTCCATTTTAGCTAGGAACAACATTCCCTCCGAAGCTTAACCCCCAAAATCAAAAGATCAAAAACCCACCAAGGCCAAAACTTCATCACCACCACCCCACCACCTCCAACCATGGTAAGCTTTGAAATCACCACCAAAGTGCTCTTCTACCACCCCACAAGATAGCCATGCCAACCAATTTAACCAAAATGACCTCAAACTCAAAACCCATTTCATAAAAACCTAGAACCCGAAAATTTAAAACATGAATTCGAGCAATTGTAGTACATGATATGAAATTCTAATGATACCAGGAGATTCCTAGCCCTCAAATTAGCCTAGTAGCATATCTCTAATTGTTCAAAGAAACTTCTTCCACAAATCCAAAATTCTAAAATTTGATTTTCTTTCTCTCTCTCCTCTCTTCTCCCTCTATTCTCTCTTGTCGGTTCTAACTTATCCAGAGACCTACTGAAGTCTTAGCACCTCCTCAATCACTCTGAAAGCTTGGAGAAGGCTGGAGAGAGCTATTTTGCTGCTAGGCAACATCTTGGAAAGAAATGCCATGCAATGGGATTTTCGTAAATAACTTAACTTTGATTTTTATTTTATTTTAATTTAATTCTATTTTTTTTATAATCATATACATATTAAAACATGCACTATAAAAAAATTATTTTCCTATATTTTTTTTTCTCGTACACATGCATGTTTGGGTTTTACATTTAGATTGTTAATAGATTCGGATATGAACCATAAAATTAAAATTCATTAGATTACTAGGTTGAACTTTAAGAGTTAGATTCTAATTTAGATTAGTCAAAATCCAATCCTATTAACAACTCTATCTTTTCTTCATTTAATGTTTTAAGCATATAAATTTCAACTCACTTGACTATCAAAACTCAACTATAAAAAAAATATTATATAAGTGAATAATATAGAAACTAATCTTTTTATACAATCACCGAAACCAGTAATTGCACATTTTAACTTCTCCTTCTGTATTCTAAATTAATTTAAAAAGAATTGTTCTAAGGCTTACAAAAAGAATAAATATTTACATATTCAATAATACAACATTGAACTTAAGGGACAAAATTAATAAATTACTTATCTACAGTAAGACTTTTATACTTGGTAATGGTAGGATTCACTTAGGTATGAAATCATACATGTCAATAGGGTTCATGATATGACAGTCAAGGAGTTGGCTTGAATACCAAAAAGTGAAATTTGGTACAATACCGAAAATTTAAAACAGAATGTAGAGTTGACACCTGTACCCATTTAAATTTATCAAAACTTATAACCGGTTTAACGGGTATATATTTTAAAAATAAATACAACCGCTACACACTTAAAAAAAAGATATAATAGAAATTAAAATTAGTTTTAAAAAATAATAATTATTTATCTGATTTAAGCCTAAAAAAAAATATAATAAACAATTTACAATATCTCAAATTAGTTTTAAAAAATTATAATTATTTATCATATTTAAACGTGAAATAAAAATATAAGAAAAATTTTACAGTGACATTAAATTTTAAAAATATTAGAGGTTAGGATTAGGTTATTAAGTTTACAAGGATAAATTACACTTAAAGTTTAGCACATTGCTATTATTAAAATGTTACATTATCACAAATTTTTTTGGGTAAAATTGCTATTTTTTGGGGTTATATTTTGGGTTAAGGTAAAATTATTACAACTTCTGTATTTAACGCAAAATAAATTATAACAAAGTTATCAAATATGTTAAATTAAAATAGGTAAAATAATTTGGGGGAAAGGTAAAATTATTACAACATTTGTTTCTAACGCTAAAAAAATTATAACAAAGTTATCAAATATGTTAAATTAAAATAGGTAAAATAATTTGGGGGAATATGAAATTAATTAATAGTTGAGAATGTAATACATGAAAAATATGAGGCAAAAATTGAAAAAAAAGTAAAAATTTTAAGGTATAAGTGAAATTTACTGAAGCTAAAATCTTGATCGCTGGTTTGAGCGATCAAGATTAGTCAAAGGGATCAATTGCAACTTGATCACTGGATCCAAGTTTGATCACTCAATATAGCGATCAAACTTTTTCTTCTATTCCCCATGCAACTTGATCGCTGGATCCAAGTTTGATCGCTCAATATAACGATCAAACTTTTTCTTCTATTCCCCAAGCAGGAAACCGAAAACCCAACTCCTCAAACCCTAAATCAGCCATCTAACCCCAAATCTAACCCTAAATCAGCTATCTAACCCCAAATCTAACCTTAAATCAGCGATCTAACCCCAAATCGTGAAAACCCATCCTGATTGCATACCCAAAACCCTAAATTAGGTAGGGCTTCAAAGTTTGGTGCCCTAATCGTCTCGAAACAACCTACATCATGCTTCTCCGTCAGGGAAGGGAGAGAAAGGTGCCTGCGACTTGGGGTGTCGTGGTTGTTTAACTTGCGTGCAGGGTGTATATTGTCACAAGAATTCGGCTCCTCTATGGTAGTTTTTTTTATTGTTTAATTAGCGAAAAAGCAAGTTTATTTCGTTATAATTTTTTATACATAGTTGTCTCTGTCTCTCTGAATTTCATAAATTTTTTTGTACAAATAGTTGCATAAGGATGTGTTTTGGGGTCGAACGAATTATGGTTTTTGTGAGTGATGGTTCAAGCAATCCTATCTTCCTCACATCTTCAATTGTTATTGCTCAAAATAATAGATAATTTTCCATGTTATTGCTTTTTTGACTAGATTTTTTTTTTGTTACAGCAGAATGACCGGTAGAAAGAAATATAGGCCAAAAGTTGTGGATACTAGTGAAAAAATGAAGAGGAAGAAAAGCTGTAATGATCCTCCCTCCTCCTCATCGAAGAAGAAATGTAATCATCCTTCCTCCATGGATCCAACTGTTGATCCCACCTCCTTCAATCCAGTTGATCTCACTGTTAATCATCCACCAAGTTCATCCAACCCCATATGCAATGAGGAAATATCTTTCTTCAACAAACATTGCAAACTGTGGTATGAGAACTACATTAATTATAGGCCTTTGTTATTGGAGAGGGGTGTTTTACTAGATCAATTAAAAGAGGTAGGATGTGATGTTATTTTTTCTCTTCATCAATGGAATTCTACAGTAGATATCAAGAAGACGGATAAAGCATATAATACATTGGTGAAGATATTTTATTCTAATATGCATGATATTGATAGAGATGATTACAAGTTTAAGTCCCTTGTGAGAAAAGTAAGTTTTGAAGTAACTCGAGAGTTAGTTTCAAAAATATTGGGAGTTTGCCGACCCTTCATTTCTAACAATACCCTTACCTATCCATTCAAGAATTTTAAGGACATACCTAAGTTGAAAGATGTTCATGCAAAAATTGAGGGTATACCTAATAAATTTAGTGAGAGTGTTGACGATCCAGAATTTTTTCAGAAAGACCTTACTCCCAAATATAAGATGTTAAATCTTATAGTGGGGTACAATATTATACCAAAAAGACATACTACCAAGTTTGGACTTGATCGAGCTCATTTCTTGTATGCCATTGGAAAGGGTATATGTATAGATTTATCTTGTTTAATAGTTGATGAAATTATTTTGGTACAAGGTATAAAAGGATAGGCGACGATGTCTCCCATTCCCAATTTTGATTTCAAAGATTATGGAGGATTGTGGAGTTGTGATTCACTCAAGCGACACTTATTCCACTCCCATGAATCCAATTTATGGTGGGACAATAAAGAAGAGTTTGGGGCAAAGGAAGAAGAATAAAACTCAGCAACCGCAGCCACAAGTCGAGAATGAAGTTGAAGTTGAGGATGATGAAGCCCAAACCCAGGATGTCCCAAATTCTTCCACCATTGGTGTCCTAAATTCTTCCACAACTGGTGTCCCAAATTCTTCCACAACTGGTCTTCCTCTTGATGCATTGCAGGTATATGGAATGTTGCTGGTACGATTGACCAGAAAGATGGAGGAATTTGAAAATTCTCAAAATGAAATAAATGAGTCTCTAAATAGGATGGATAGTAGGTTGGATAGAATTGAGTCTTTTTTTATGAAAAACAAAGAAATAGCTAGGAAGTGACAATTGTATGTAATTGTAGTTGTTGGTTTTTGATACAATAGTTGAAGTAGTAGTAGTTACAATTGTATGTAATTGTAGTTGAACTAGTAGTAGTGTTTTTGTCAAAAATCTAAAATATCTTTGTTCTTTATACATAAAATGAGAATGATAATGGTTGTGATAAGCATGATTGTGGTAATTTAGTAGTAAGATTGTTGAGCAGTTGAAAATTGGAATGGATTGATATGCTGGGATGAAGATGGCAGAATGGAGCTGGTGCTTTGTTGCAATCTGTTCTGTGTACTGGTGCAGTTTACTGAGTAGCTAAATTGGGCTAGTTTGTTGGGATTGAGTTGGTAGGTTGCTACCTAGTAGTTTTAGGATTGCTGCATTTGTATAGAAAACTTGTTTTGCTTTGTTGTTCTGTTCTCTGTTATAAAATAGAAATTTTGTTTGTAATAGTTTTTTGGTTTTTTCGGTTTTCTGTTAAAACAGATACTATTTTTTGGGTTAAACAGTTTCTGTTTTTTTGATTCTTGTTATTTTGAGATTTATGCAATAAAATTTTAGATTTAAAAAAAAAATCCCATGATCCCAATATTGATCTACTGCACCTATCGGTCTGAAGCTATTGATAGTTGCTCTTACTCACCTGATCCCACTCTTGATCGCAAACCTCACTTGATCCCACTCTTGATCGATCAAGGATCACTAACCTCACTTGATCCCACTGTTGATCGCTAACTTGATCAGATCCCACTTGATTGATGGCAAACCTGCACTTGATCCATGATCGTTACTTGATCCCAATCTTGATCGCTAAATGCTGTCCAAAAAATTGGAAATATTAACCTAAAAAATGGTAATATTAACTAAAAAATGGTAATATTAACAAAAAAAGTAGTACTTACCTTAAAAGTGTAATCTTAACCAAAAAAGTGGTAATGTTAATCAAAAGTTTGGTAATGTTAATCAAAAGAATTGTCATGTTAACCAAAAAAGTGTAATCTTAACCAAAAGTAATGTTAACCAAAAAATAACCAATAAAATGGTCTTACCTCAACATGTAATCTTACCTAAAAGAGTGGTACTCTTAACCAAAACAGTGGTAATTTTAACCAAAAAAATGTTAATGTTATCCAAAACAGTGGTACTCTTAACCAAAATAGTGGTAATGTCTATCAAAATAGTGGTAATGTTAACCAAAAGAGTGATACTCTTAACCAAAACAGCAGTAATCTTAACCAAAAAAGTGATAATGTTATCCAAAACAGTGGTAATGTCTACCAAAATGGTGGTAATGTTAACCAAAAGAGTGGTATTTTTAACCAAAATAGTGGTAATCTTAACCAAAAAAGTGATAATATTATCCAAAATAGAGGTATTCTTAACCAAAATAGTGGTAATCTTGCCTCAAATAATGGGCTTTTTATGAAAAAAATGGTACTCTTACCTCAACAGTGGTAATCTTAACGAAAAAAATGGTAATCTTAATCAAAAGAATTGTAATGTTAACCAAAAAAGTGTAATCTTAACCAAAAGTAATGTTAACCTAATCAATGGTAATGTTAACAAAAAAATAACCAATAAAATGGTCTTACCTCAACATGTAATCTTACCTAAAAGAGTGGTAGTCTTAACCAAAACAATGGTAATCTTGACAAAAAAAGTGGTAATATTATCCAAAACAGTGGTATCAAAACCAAAATAGGGGTAATGTCTACCAAAATATTTGTTAATGTTAACCAAAAGAGTGGTACTCTTAATCAAAATAGTGGTAATCTTAACCAAAAAAATGATAATATTATCCAAAACAGAGGAATTCTGAACCAAAATAGTGGTAATCTTTCCTCAAATAATGGGCTTTTTATGAAAAAAATGGTACTCTTAACCAACAAAATGGTACTCTTACCTCAGTAGTGGTAATCTTAACAAAAAAAATGGTAATCTTAATCAAAAGAATTGTAATGTTAACAAAAAAAGTGTAATCTTAACCATAAGTAATGTTAACCTAATCAATGGTAATGTTAACCAAAAAATAACCAATAAAATGGTCTTACCTCAACATTTAATCTTACTTAAAAGAGTGGTAGTTTTAACCAAAACAGTGGTAATCTTAACCAAAAAAGTGGTAATATTATTCAAAACAGTAGTACTAAAACCAAAATAGTGGTAATGTCTACCAAAATAGTGGTAATGTTAACCAAAAGAGTGGTACTTTTAACAAAAATGGTGGTAATCCTAACAAAAAAAGTGATAATATTATCCAAAACAGAGGAACCCTAAACAAAAATAGTGGTAATCTTGCCTCAAATAATGGGTATTTTTACCAAAAAAGTGGTATTGTTACAAAATAAAAGTGATAATATTACACGAAAAAAGTTGTATTCTTATATCCAAAAAAGGTGCATTCTAAGCCCAAGAAATTTGTATTTTAACCCAAAAATGGTAATGTTAACGTAAAAAGTGATAATCTAACCTAAAAATAGTAATCTTACCCTAAAAAGTAGTAATCTTGCCTCAAATAAATGGTAACCTTATTAAAAAAAAGTGGTATTTTCACAAAATAAAGGTGATAATGTTATACCCAAAAAGTTTTACTCTTACACCCAAAAAAGTTGTATTCTAAGCCAAATCAAGTTGTATTCTAACCCAAAAACAACAAGGGAATGTTAACAAAAAAAGTGGTAATCTTGCCTCAAATAATGGGTAATCTAACCTCAAATAATTGGTAATATTACCAAAAAAGTGGTATTATTACCAAATAAAGGTGATAATATTACACCCAAAAAGTTGTAATGGAAACCAAAAAAAATGATACGTTTACCTCAACACGGTCATCTTTCCCTCAAAAAGTGGTAATCTTCTCAAAAAAATGGTAATATAACCCAAAAAAACGTGATAATATTGCCTCAAAAGATTGTTTATTCTTTATATATAAAATGAGCTTGGTTCTTATGGAAATGCAGCATTCCTATAGGGAAGGAAATGCATTTGCAGACTCTTTCGCCAACTAAGGAGTCTGTGACAATGCTTCTCATACTCATACTTCCCCTTTCACTCTCAATCTACGTACGAGACAACTTTTACTGCAAGATCAATGACAAATCGGTCTAAGATTAAAGTTCTCTATAGATTCAACGTCAAATTAAATCTAACAAAGTCAAAAAATTACTAAACCAATAAATGTTGGACAGTAAAAGTATTTTTACGACAAAGGCCTTTCACTTTAAGTAATCCGAAAATGTATTTGTCACATAGACTATCATGAATAAAAATTTTCATTGTATGGAAAACATATCATGGAACACCAAATTGTTACCAGCACATTAACTTAACCCTCACAAACACATTGATTGGTTGTGTTTAATGAGGAAGATACTACTATCACAGCGACAATGAAAAAGAATGTCAGCATGCATAATGTATAAGTTTTATTTAATACATAAGTTGAATGGTCAATAGGAATGAGAATGTTATTGGTGTGTCAGCACAATTTAGCATGATCTGAGAAAATATCATCTAGTAAGAAAAGACTAGATAGAAATTTTGTAATTAAAGTTAATCCAATGTCAGGGGAGGCAAAAGTACAAAGCTTAGAACAATTAGAGCAAGGAAGTGTCCTTTCTCCAGTAGGCAGCACCTCCTCTACTCCCACCCCTGCTGCCCCAAACTCAAACAACTTGATATGGGAAGATGGAGAAGACATGCTAGAATTCAAGCTACAGTGACAAGGAGCAGACTTTGCACATAAAAATCAATCTTGGGCATATGTCAATTACCAGCAACTGTTATTTTTGGAATGCTGGAATGCTTAAAATAGCTGCTACTGAAATGTGCTGGAATGCTCAAAAAAGCTACTACACATTGCTCATCTTGGCTCTCTTAGCTACTGTTCATGTGACTGCATTGAGGATAAGGTAAATACTTCCCCTAGCTAGGTTTAATTTAAATTTTAATCAAAAATATTCTCTCGCAAGTTTTCCAAAAAAAAATAAGGGTATATCTAAGTGAAAAAAAAAACTTGGAATGGAGAATGTAAATTAAACCTTTTCATTCAAAGTTGCAAAAAAAGTAAAATTTTATCAACCCATCTTGCTCCATGATCTTGGTGCCCACTATGATAGCATAAATTGATGGTTAGATGACAATGGTGAAAAAACAAAATTTTTGGGATAAAATTTATAATTTTTTGTAATTACCTCCATATTACTGAAACTAGTGTTGATGTATTGTGATTGAATGGTCGAATCAAAGCTTGAAATTCCATCCTAAAATAACAAGGAATGAGTACATATGGAAAAAATATAAACATCCAAAGAGTATTATATGAACCTGATAGTTGAGGATACCCTCATTGACAAAGGGAATGCAATGGTCATCCTTTTTCGATGATGGCATAGATTGTTGCGATCTACCATGCTATGAAAAAGACATGTGGGGTGGCTGGTTTGATCCAATAAGTTGTAAAAAGGGTCCCGTGGTTGCTGTGATCCAACTGGTTGTGAAAAAGGCATGTCCTTGAATGGATCATTGGATTGAGACATCAAGAGTGGACATTTTCTAACAGTATGGCCAGTGCCCTTGCATTTACTACATCTTCGTGGGTTGATTGGAATATTCTTTTGTGCATGACTATGAGTACCCTTGGTTTTTATAATATTTGGATCATTCACACCGAATTGTGTAGTCGTCACATTTGCATCGTGTTTGCCAAGTGACTCATGACGGGCTTTAAGAAGAGAAGTTCTTTGTTGCACCATACTCCATAGGTCATTTGAGTCTGAGAGCAACTGTGAAGCGTAATAACACATTTGGTTGCACATTGACATAAGTCTAGCATAACACATAGGAATTAACACATTCGTGTGCACATGTATACCCAGCTTTTGCTTTAATGGTCCACCTGTCCATCACCATGGAATGAGGAAACTCTTGTAAGTGCTCATACTTCATGACCGTAATCAATGTAGAGCATGGAATCCCAAAAAACTCAAATTTCATGCAATTGCATTTAAACACATGAATTTGAGGATAATATTCCACAATCCACCTTGATTATGGATTTGTGAAACGAGACAAATAGTAACTCCGATGACTATCAATCACGATCTTATCCACGACAAAAAATACAGCTTATTCTTGTATCTTATCACGGACCTTGAAGAAAATCTTTCTGGTAAATAGAGCAGCAACATGTTGCTCTAAGCATCTCAGTGCTGTCTGCATCACTAGCCTAGAATGTTCTGACTCAAAGTCATCATTGGCCTCACACTCCCTGATACTTGCCAAGCCCTTGTCATAGTGCCTAACAAACTCGAATAATCGTTGGCTTGTTTTTAGAAAGTGTTACAGGTAGGCATTCATACTCTCCGATCATTGCGTGCTTTTTAAGCCGACAAAAAATTTTCCTTACAAGTACGCTTCGGTCCATTTGAATCGCTTTGCATAAACTTACGCTATCCAATTGTTATCCTCCAGTCCAAATGCTTCGACCATTGATTTCCACTCATTTTCAAATTCTTCTGGAGTACATCGACCATACATGCACCTCTTGAATGCATTGACAAAATTTTCAGCATTTATATTTGTGAAGGCATTTCTTGACAAATGCCATCTACATAAGCGATGCGTTGCTTGAGGAAATACTCCTTCAATTGCATCAACCATTGCTTTATCTCCATCGGTAATAACAGATACATGCATCTTGTTTTCCATTGCATGAAGAAAGGTATTCAATACCCACACATATGTATCAATTGTCTCATTTAAAAGTAATGCACACCCAAATATAGTTGTAGCGTTGTGGTGGTTGACACCCGCAAATATCACAAAAGGCTTCTTATATGCATTCATTTGATATGTAGTATCAAACGTCATCACCTCACCAAAGCACTTGTAATCTAGTCGAGATGTCGAATTAGCCCAAAACAAGCAATTCAACGAATTGTCATCGACGACAGAATACTTGAAATAGAATTGCGGGTCTAGCTCTTCCTTCGCGCTCAAGTAGGCTAATGCGCCCTCCGCATCACCATCGCTCAACTCTTCTCTACTGTAGGATGTCATGTCATTGTAGAGATCCTTTGTGGTAAACCCAACATTTTGATATCCTCCAGATTGTTGCAACATGAAATCCCTAATATGACTTGTACACATACCAACATTGCGCAATTATATAGCTTGTGCTCTGTCAGGGCTCTTGACATGCCTGTGTGATCGGAGAAGTGGAACACTACGTTGTGGAACCAATTCATGGTTGTGGTCCATTACAAACTCTTTTACAACCCATTTTTGTGTCTTCCTATCAAACTTCACTCGAAATGTTGCTTTGCATCCAAGTCGTGTTAACCTCGTGGTTCCCTTGATCGCTCTACGCATTCTGTATTCTTTGCCGACCGATAGCCTTCTCTCGAACAAACCCACCGTCTTGCAATTGACATGTTGTTCTTTTCATGCTTTAGGTCATCCTTATGAACACTGAAACCCGCATATCTACCATATGTGTTATAAAATTGTCCGACATCTTCATGTGATATAAATGTCATTTCAAGGACTTCTGTAGATGTTAAATCTTCCCTCATTGCAATGTCTTCAATTGATGTTAACTCATCCTTGTTTGCAATGACTTCATTGGATGTTAACTCATCCTTGCTTTTCTGATGGAAGTCCAGATATTCATCATTTTCATAATCATGTAATATGTCATCTGCTATATCACTATTTAAGTCTAAAAGAACCTGCTTTCCTTTTTCCATTTGTGTTGATTATACCTAAGGACAAATAATTAACAATTTCATCTTTAAGAAATGACTAATATTTCTACCTATCAAAATAAGAAGATAAGAGTTGTGGACATAACACAAGTAATAACAAACATCTACGGAGAAAAGATTGTAAAATACTTACCTTGTTTGATTTGAATCTTCCAATACCTTGAATTCCACTTAATTGCATGGATGATCAAGACAAGATCGTTAAATATGTTGGATTGAAGTTAGATGGGTGATGAAATAATGGAGATATTAAGAGTGATGAAGAAATGCAGGCTATAATTTGTTATTGACTTCCGTTTGTTATTGTGTTAAGAAAATTATAGTAGTTGGAACAATGGTTTTACATTTACTTCACAATTAAATGCAATTTATTACACAAAAATTATATTACCTACTTAAAAACAGGTTTTTTTTTACAACTATTATGTCAAAATTAGAACATCTTGGGCGGATTGCAAATGTTGGGTGATTTTCAAAGATGTGCAATATATTATAATCAATTTTTTATTATGTTCATAACATGTTAATTTTAAAATTATGTCATACAAAACTTTTTAATTTATTATGGATTATTTTTTATAAAAAATGGACTTTAATAAAGGTTAAAAGTTAGATGAATTAAAGCTTACTATTCTATGTAATATAACTAAATTTTAGTTGGATATAATATAACTAAAATTAGTCTTGATTTGATATTAAATTAAATAGAAATTTAGTTTTAAATTAAATAAATATTATTTCAATATTTTGAAATTAAATCTCATTTTGTATACTTATAGTTCATTAATTTAAATAGCAATTTAGTGAATGTGTTTAAGTTGAATGTCCATTAATTGCATGATGTATAATGTATTGAAGATTGTTACCTTTAAAATGGTAAGAACACAAATTAATCAAATATTAAATAATTAAACATGTGATAAATTTGTTTGATGTATGCTTTGGGGGTGGGGAATGATATTCAACTTCCTAGTTTTGACTTCACAGAATTGAAAAAGTGAAGAAGATCATTCAAGTGGTACGTTTACCACTTATTTGGTAAAGATTGTTACCTTTAAAATGGTAAGAACATAAATTAATCAAATATTAAATAATTAAACATGTGATAAAATTATTTAATGTATGCTTTGGGGGTGGGGAATGACATTCAACTTCCTCTGTGTTTTACTCTATTCAACTTCCTAGTTTTTGACTTCACAAAATTGAAAAAGTAAATATCATTCAACATTCTCTCCATTATCAATCTTTAAAAGTGGGAGTAATAAGTTTAGCACATATTGGGGGTAAGATTATCACTCTTTTGGTTAATATTACAATTATTATTATAACAAAGTCACTAATTTGTGGTTAATTTTACAACTTGGGGGCACGTTTACCACTTATTTGATAAAGATTGTTACCTTTAAAATGGTTAGAACAAAAAATTGAATGTTAATTTGATTACAAAAATAATTGTTTTACATCTCATAATTGAATGTTAATTTGATTAAATTAAATCTCATTTTGTATACTTTTCATAGTCATACGAAATATAAGTGTTGATAGATTCAACTTCTAATATGTTTTATTATATTCATGAGATCAAATATTAATTTATTGTTATTTTTTTGGGGGGAAAATTTACCACTTTTAGGGTAAGTGTACCTCATTTTGGTTAATATTTATTTGTAATTTATGGGGGATATTACAAATTTTTTAAAAAAAGATTACCACTATTTTGGAAAAGGATACCACAAATTGGGGGTTAGGTTTATCAATATTTATGGGTAATATTGACTTTATTTTTTGGTTAATATTATAATTATTAAGTTAACCACTATTTGAATAAGGTCACCAATTTTTAGATAATATTACAACCTTGATACATTTTCCACTTTATTATTTTTGGTTATGTAAACCCCCACTTATCTAAACTATCAACAATCGTCCAATTAGTTTTGTTTTGCATTTAACATCTCCATTTATATCCTAAATCAAAATATAAGAATAATAAGTATATTTAGGCTCCAAACAAGCATAGAATAATCAAACAGTCCGGCAAACTACATTTCACCAATTTGATCATAACTCTTTGTTGAAAAGTCTAAATTGTGCACCGTTATTTTTTTTAGAACCCTAACTCGTATATCTTTTCAACCATATAGGTCACATATACTAGAACTACCTGAGTCAAATCAGTTTATTCTCTGAAGTTGATAAAAAAATCTGCACTATGGTGTTCCTTGGATAGTAAAGTGTTGTGCTTTCTTCTTAGACTTGAAGGTGTAAACCCCCACATATTTATATTAATATAGTAATGTACTTATTTAGTGATTCTTATATATGTAATGACGTAAGAACAAACCATATATATTGAAACCGTAAGAATAAATACTAGGGAGGAATAAAATAATAATTTTAATGTTTCGAGTGTAAATTTATTTTATTTTTGAAATAAATCATAAAAATAAATATTTTTAGGTTAAAATAACATTAAAAATGAATTCAGAACGTCGAAAAATCTTAGGGTAGTTATATGGATCAAATTGGAGATCTTAGTGGCAAAACTGTAAATTTGGAGAAACCCAAAATAGGTTGTGAACAATAAAAATGGGGGTTGGCTGTGTTTAAAACACTGATTTTAGTCCCTTTAACCACATTTTTTTCACTCCACTCTCACCCCACACCTCTTGGAACCCTAGAAGAAGGTAAAGGAAAGGAAGGAGAGGAGAAAGAAGTTCTATAGGGCTTGGACTTTCACTTGAAATTCTTGATTCTAGGTAGAAATTTCTCCTCATTCTCCTACATTGAGGCTAGGGTTTATATCTATGTATATGTTGCTTCTAAATCTTAGATATATGTTATGAAATCATTATTTCTTGATACTCTTGCAAATATTATCATGTTTAGAATGAAGTTATGGTTTGATAGCCATGAAATCCTTGAAATCTCAAAACCCTTGTTCTTTTTAAGAAATAGAGTTTTTCTTCTTGATATTCCTTAATTCTTGATTTCAAAATCCTAGTACTTTGTTTGAACAATAAAAATATATGTTTGATGATCTCTTGCATATTTTTCTTAAATTGTTCTATTGGAATCATATGGCAGAAAATTGGGGATTTTTGAGATTTAATGTGATTTGAGAAATACCTATGAAATTTGGGGGTTTTGAAAATTATGAACTTTTGTTGAGAAATTGTAACGCCCCAAAAACCCCCTTGGGTGACATTACATTCTAAAAACCATTCACCCCATGAGAGCATTACGTAAATTCATCACGACGAAAGTACATTCATCAACCATTCATATTTTAACGAAATTTGGGCAGAGTCTCCTTTGTACGGGGAGCTTTACCCAAAACACAACCTGTACAATTATATTACAATTGACCACACCGGGTCCACATATGCATAACTATTGACCACACCGGGTCTATTTATCCATCATAAAATAAACTTTCATTCATCATATGTCATATCCACAATGTCATCCCAAAAGAATAGGCCAAGTATGACAAATATATTCCCAAAAGAATTAAATTACACTTGCAGTGAAATAACAAAATACTAGACTTTACATGATTTCAAAATAAACTCTCTAGTCTAGTACAAAAGAAATATAACTCTAGGCATCCAGTTCAGGACCCCCGTTCCCCTCTAGGGGAGCTTCCCCATGCACTGGTTCATCTACTTGTAACTCCTCCTCATAGACGAAATCTGAAAAGATATTATTTGTAGGGGATGAGCACTAAGCTCTGTAGCAACATTCTTTCCATACTCATACAAGGTTTAGAAAACATGTAAAACAGTTCGGTCTTATTTTCCAAAATATCATATAACATTTGAAGTAAAACCGTGACATTTGAAACAGATCTCAAGTTTAAACATTCGCAATAATTTAAATGAACAGTAAACCCAAGTCACAATGAGCAACCATAACCATTTCCAACAAGTTCTTGTAGAGTCCCATACCTCCACAAGCTCTTGTGGGAAATGCAATAGTAACACCATAATACAAAAAGGAACGTTTATTCCACCATCGATTATTATATTTCCTTTGGCAGGTGACATACTTAAAAGTAAACTCCACCCCCTTCAAGTCTTTGTTTCCCATAACCGCATACTTACAAGTAACCATGGTCGTTAGATGTCCTTCTAGGTAGGTAGCATACTTACAAGTAACCTATACCCCCCCTTGAAGTCTCCCACACATAACCGCATACTTACAAGTAACCTCGGTTCATAAATATCCTCTTTTGGTAGGTAGCATACTTACAAGTAACCTCTACCCCCCTTCAAGTATTCCACACTTAACCGCATACTTACGAGTAACCTCGGTTAATAATTATCCTCTTTTCATACCAACAATCACATACAAGATAAAATCCACAAATTTCCCTCAACAAGCAACCATTATCAAAATCCCCAAATTTTATCATGCGACAATCCAAATAACCAATTAAGAAAAATACAAGAGATCACCACCACATCATTTTCATTACTCACACAAAGCACTAAAGTTCTCAAAACCAAGCTTGAGCAAATGTAGAAAGAGAATTCCATATTTCCCCAAAAACTAGGGTTTTAAAGCTATAAAAGAAGTTTCATGGGTAATCAATCCTAACTTTGTTTAAGACATGTCATAATTGCAAGAAAACCAAGAAACAAGGAATTCCTAGCAAATACATACAAGTATGAGTCAAAACATATATATATATATTAGCCTTAGCCTCAATGGACAAGCATGGAAGAAAAACCCCTACCTTGAATCAAGGTTTCAAACCACAAACCCAAGCTCTAATGACCTCCTTTCTCCCTTTCCTCCTTTCCTCTATCTTCCCCAAGGGTGCTAAGGGGTTTGGGGGTGAGAGATGTGAGAAAAAATGGAAGGAAATGGGCTGGTTTCTGTGTTTTAAACACAGCAGTCCGCGACAATCACTGTTCATGGGCTGAATTTTGAGTTTTTTTCCAAAATTACAGTTTTGCCACTAGAAATCTCCAATT